TTTCCTAATGTCACCCAGTAAATCTAATGTCCCAAATATCGAAAAACTAAAATTAACGATTTCTCTTTCTGCAAAAGTCCGATGTACAAACCCTACCTTGTATGCTAGTATTTGTAAAATAAATCATTTTGATTTAACACAAAAATATTGGATACATAAACAATTCCTCTACTTTGTGAAGCTTTTAGAAATATTAGCAATTATGAAAATCTCATCAGTATAGATCAGTGCATAGATTTTGAGGATATCTTTGCCTTTTTTAACAATGTTAATGTTATACAACCAATTTATCATGAAAATCATAAAATAAGTTCCAATACTTTGAACTCACAACTAGAAAACTGGCCTGATTCTACAAAGATCTACACAGATGCTTCGAAAACTTCAACTGGTACATCTACAGAGAACGTTTTTAAATTAAATTTTTCAATATTTAGTGCGGAAACAATTGCTATATATGAAGCAATAAAATACTTTAAAATATCTAATAATAATTATTATTTTATCTGATTCCCTATTAGACCGTCAGATAGTGACTGATTTAGGTGCCCCATTTTCGCATATAAGCCTCGAAGAGGGTTGAAAAGTACATCGATTTTGAGTAGAATGAAAGGAAATTTACGAATGGCCCCTAGGGATAACATATGGAAAATTCGATTTTCCTTAACAGAAATAAAAGGTGTTTTTTGCTTATTTTTCCACGCAAGCCGTTTTCACTATATGATTAATTAATAGAACTAGGCTTCGAAAAACCAAAGGCTTTAATGTTGCAAGTGGCCAAAGGGTCGAAATGAGAGCGTAATCTTGTAAAGAAAAATCGATATTTTACCTGATTTTTCCATACAAGCCCGTCGAAAGTATGAATACATACATCGTCACTAGCCCGAAAAACATATTGGCTTGAATGGCGCGAATGGATAAGTGCATTTTGGAGTCGGAAAAATTACCGCAATTTTTTTTTTATTTTTGAGTTATTTTTTCATGCAAGCCTTTTTAACCATAGAATGTTAATGTGTTAGACATAATAATAAAATTGGCATGAGTATCGGATGTGGACGAAACGAAGGCTTGAGTCGGAAAGTTGCAGGAAAATTGTATGGAAAATGCCACCATTTTCCCACGCTAGCCGTTTGACATATGCTTAGAAAAAGTGATTCTAAGACTATATAACAAAAGGCTTGAGTGTCGGACATGGTCATCATATTAATTATATATAATTTATTTTAAAAAAACCTGACAAAAAAAGTTTATAAATTTCCACCATTTTCCCACACAAGCCTTTTGGCATATGCTTAGAAAAAGTGATTCTAAGATATATAAAAAGGCTTGAGTGTTGGACATGGTCTTCATATTATTTATACAAAATTTATTTAAAATGCTGACAAGAAAATCTATAAATATCCACCATTTTCTCACACAAGCCGTTTGGCATATGCTTGGAATCATTTATAATTCACCATTTAAAAAAAATAAAACTAAAACCTAAATATCAAAACCTAATTATCACCCCAAATCATTTAAATATCGATTCTCAAAGTTATTTTACATTAATTTTATTATAAGAGTTGTCTCGTGGCCGGACTATTCAACGACTAATTTTATAACTTTTAAATGTTTTTTAACTTAACGCCCTTTTAAATGATTGTAAAATATCAAATATTTCAGTTGATTAACTAAATAAATGTATATCATAGTACTTACCAATTATTTAATTTGAAGAAAAATAACTAATGTAATGAACACAACAACCTGTAACTTCAATTTTAACCAAAAAAAAATAACGCACAATAATTATTTAATCCAATAACTTGTATAATTTGAAATAATGTCACATAATATCATAGGAACATCAACATTTTCTAATCGTCTTCAAGAAAATCATTTTGGTCTGTTAAAAGATTTATCTCATGACATTCTTGATTGCTTTAATATCTTACATAAATGCAATTTAAAATGGTTTCGAAGTGTCTATTCCATAGAATACTTGATTGTCATCATTAAATTCTAGGATATCTACTTTTTCATGTTTAGTAGCTGCATTTTTATTTTATACATACATTAATTTTATAAAAATTAAAAAATGGACCAACATATCTTTGTAACGAATCTGTTAATAGGGCCAAGTCTTTTCACCTCTGAGTAAAGTTGAAAGTAACTACTTGCTGAGTAAACTATAGGAATAATGTTTGTTAATCTGTCAAGTAAAAGTACATGTAACTTTACTCAGAGGTTAAAAGATCGACCCTTAACAGGTATTTTAAAGTTTATATTTAATAGCCCTTTGAAAGAATATATAAATTGTTCTATAAAATAAACATATTGTTAATTCAGCACTAAATTCATATTAAAATTTACTATACGAATAATCACCGAACAATAAATAATAATAACTTTGCATAAATATTTATTTGTAAACTTTTTGGGGTCAGTTCTTTTTTAGATAAATAATATGCTCCATGTCCAATACTTAAGCCGTTTGTTATATCGTTTAAGAATTACTTTTTCTAAGCATATGACAAACGGCTTGCGTGAGAAAATGGTGGAAATTTCTAGATTTTCTTATCAGCTTTTTGTTGAATAAATTATAAAAATATAAATAATATGATGGCCATGTCCGACACTCAAGTCTTTTGTTATATAGTCTTAGAATCACTTTTTCTAGGCATATGTCAAACGGCTTGTGTGGGAAAATTGTGGCAATTTGCATACATTTTTCCAGCAACTTTCCTATGTTCTGAAAATATGAAGACCACGCTCTGCACTCAAGCCATTATTTTTTTCTGGTCTCTTAAATTCATAAGTTTTTATTGCAAAAAATTTCGTTGATGGGAAAATAACTGAAAAATCGAAAAAAATTTCTGTTAAATTTTCCAACCTTAAAATGGACTTATCCACTCACGCCACTCAAGCCAATATGTTTTTCGGTCTAGACGATGTATGTTTTCATACTCTCGATTGGCTTGTATGGAAAAATCGGTTAAAATATCGATTCTTCTTTACAAGATTACGCCCTTATTTCAACCCTTTAGCCACTTACAACATTAAAGCCTTTGGTTTTTCGAAGCCTAGTTCTATTAATTAATCATATAGTGAAAATGGCTTGTGTGGAAAAATGACCAAAAAACACCTTTTATTTCTGTTAAGGAAAATCAAATTTTCCATATGTTATACCCAGGGGCCGCTCGTAAATTTGCTTGCATGCGAAAATGGGGCACCTAAATCAGTCACTATCCATAATACATCAAAAACGGTTCAATTAATATGGGTTAAAGCACATATAGGGCTCAATCATAATGAGTATGTAGATTTTTTGGCTAAAAGCGCAAATACTAATGGCTCACCGACAAGTCATCAGCTGTGCAATTTGTATGCTTTTGCAATTATTGAGAAACAACATCAAATGGAAAAGTGGAGAAAATCGACTTTTGCAAAACCACTACAACTCAATATTAAAAAATACAACCAAAAATTCCGAATGTGCTTTAGTTTAAAAACTATTCACTTCCTCGAAACTATATCACAACTATCATTAGATTGAAATTTGGACATGAATGTTATCCAGCACATTTATTCAAAATCCATGTTATAGATTCGGAGATATGTACAATGTGTCAATAGAAAGGCGATCTAAATCATATTTTCTTTAGGTTTGTTCCAACATAAACCAAATCAGTTTGCGTACTATCGGGATTCTGCGCAGTCTAGAATTTGTGTTCCAACAAACCTTAGACTCGAAACTGTACAAAAACATAGTATTCCAGCACCACCAAAATAATCACAAACCCATTTATGTACTGTCAAATCAGTTCCTGGGTCTGAATAGGAACGAATTGCAATAAACTGAACATTTCGTGATTGTAATTATATTATGTGTATTCTATTCTTTCTGACAGTTCTGATTTGTATTTGTTAATCGAGTTTAGTCTTCATAGTTTTTGTTCATGATCATTTATTTTATTTTGTGGTTTATTATTGCAATAATGCGTCTGTTGAATTTAAAAAATGTGTTCCAACATAATCGAGTTCCGAATTGAGTCCCAATCCCCGACCAGTACTTGACAAGTTGTCAATTACTAGTCATCGACAGATTGTCAACAATAAGTTTTGGACTGGTTTATGTATTGTTCCAAGATCGTTGTTGGAACAAACTTATAAGTTGGGCAAACCTATACCCAACAATGCTCAAGATCTGATACAAGATCTAATTAAAAATAATATATTTCCTCCATTTAACATTTGCCATCTCCTCTCACTTAACCAAAAAAAAAAAAAATTACTACCTCTTGATAAAATTTGTGCATGAAAGTATGTTGGTAATTAATATTAGTCTTTCAAGCTATGTTTTAATCCAATTGGTATATAGCTACCTTATCGTGGCCAGTTTTGTGTGTCCAAAAAAAATGTCTTGACGGGCCCCTAGACAAGAAGAAATGTTTAGGGGGTTTTAGGGGTTCCAAACCTCCTAAAAATTTTATGGGCTGTACAGATTTCGTGGTTTTATATGAAAAAGATGCTCTTACGATAACAAAGCCATGTATCCATTTTCATTACAAAACAGTTCATGAATTATTGGAAAAAATCTATTTGCATTTGGTACTTTCCAAGGGCTGTAACTTTTTTTTGTGCACATTTGCATTAAGGTAAGTTATTTTTGATCCCAGAATATGTGGTTTCATTTATGACCTATCTTTTTGTATATGCTGCGTGTTTTGTTAACTGCTCGTTTTGTTTACCATACGCTTTGTTTACTTTGAATTTTATTTACCGTGCGTTTTGATTACCTGTAGATCGTGTAAGTTCATAGGATGTTATATAGAACCTGAATTATTGTTTAATCTGTTTCGTAATATCCTATAAAATTATTATCACCCTGTACGTTTTATTAGGTCTTTAGCTCAGCTAAACAAATGAATATTGTGCTTTATCCTGTGGTATTTGTCTATAGTTCAGGAGCGTTACAAATTTGATTTTACTTCAATGTTATATTTGAAATAATCAAAATGACACTACCCTTCAAAGATGTTAAAAGAGATTTTTATATTAGAGAAAAAAATGATATATCAGATTTTTTACCTCGCGGAGCGGTATTATTTCAAGAAGATTATTGGAAACATGCAAAACAATTAAATTTCGAAGGTTTACCGGATTTATTTCCCCCAGAATTGCGTGATTGGTATCCGTTTGTGAATGCTTACTATCCTTATGGAAGTTGCGCGGATCCAACAGAAAGGGTTCAACATCTACTTGATATCAAACCTGCCTCAATGCCGTTGCCGAAACCAGATGCCGATGATGACGTAATAAACTTTCCATATAGCGAAAAGGAAGCTCAGCTCGCATACCTGCAAACCCCTCCACTCAGCTTTATAATTTTGGGTAAACCTGGTATGAACGAAGAAGAGTTAGGACGTAAGTTAGCAGATAACTGGCAATGTGTATATATCGAACCGCAAACACTAATCGAGCAGGAAATTGTAAGCAGCAGCAGGACAGGTCAGTGCATTGAGTACAACTTAAGACTGGGCAGGTCAATAGGAATAGATGTTGTTCTAAGATTAGTCAAAAAAAGAGTTAACACGCAATCGGCGAAACATCGTGGCTTCGTAATTTGTGGACTACCATTAATGGGTATGTACTGTTACAAGGAGGAGCCTATGATATCGGAATCTGCTATATTCGCTGCAAAATATGTTGTTGAGGATATTTTAGATATTACTTTCGATAAAGCTAAAGTGCCGTTGACTCCAGAAATTGTAGAAATTCCACCTCCAGTTATTCCTGAACCTCCTGTCGAAAACGAACAAGATGAAAACGAAGATGAAAACGAAGACGAATTAGATGAAAACGAAGCGGAACCGAACAAAGAAGAATCTGAAAATGTGTTTGAACACATAGAATTGGCATTGCCACAGGAAGCACATCAAGCATTTGATGAACCAACTATTCCTGTAGACTTAGGAGAAGAACAGGATATATGCTATCCTCCAGAAATTGGTATTAACTATGAGAGTCAACTTAATTTCTTGTTCGATTTATTACAGCCTCCGTTTATGATGATTTATTTGATATGTAGTCCTAGGGACTGCATCCTTAGACGAAAAAATTCATTGTTTCATATCTATTCGAAAACAGAAATAGATTTAGTTAAAGAAAACACGAACAAACTACTTTATAATTACTATTCGTACCGTCCAGAAGTTTTCAACGAGGTACCCCTTGATGTATTCGAGACATACTTTCATAATGTGGTTCTGGAAAGTAAAGGTTTGCAGCATTTAGTGGTTCTTCCGACAAATTTTCCAGCTAACATTGAGGCTCAACTAGATGTTTTCTATCACACGGCAATACATTTCTTAGATCGCAGGATTATGACCCACGATCCCGAATATTTTTTGAAAGTAGACGCCCGTACGAGCACCACAAGGATGTTTCACATTATTAAAAACAGGATGTGCGTTCTTCCAATTCAGAAGGTAATAATTCCACAACGTATAAGCTACGATCAACCATTAATTACGCCAACAGCTGCAGAAGAAGGTGAATCTCAATTATTATCTAAAAGACAAATTCTCGATTATCAGTATGAGGTTTTACGAAAAGTGGGTACACCTTATGAACACTTCAAATGGAATTGGTCTGATTGGGGCAAAAAATGTCCGGTCTCTTTAAAGGACAATTGTTGTGCGATTAGAGGTGACCCAAACTATGCCGTACATTTCCTGAACAAAATATTCTTTTTGGCAAACGAAGATGCTTATTTGAAATTTTATCGAAATCCGCGACCGTACTTAAAAAATTTACGTCCTGAAAAAACGTGCAAATTTTTCATATTTGGACCACAGGCTTCTGGTAAAACTGCCGTTGCTCAATGCCTAGGATACGCATTCAATGGAGAGGTGGTACGAACAGGTAAATATATTTGAAACAGTTTTAAGGTATTGGGTTTGACGAAAATTGGAAGAGGCCTTATCATACCTTTTTTCGAATAAGTTGGATGTCATACCTTGGTGATAAACAACTGAACAACTCAAAAATATTTTTGCTGATAATATCAAGCAATTCAGCGCAAAATTGTTTTAATTACAGACATACAATTATAAGATCAAACGAACTTACCTGAAGTGAAGTTCGATCTTAATTATATGATGCCTCGTCGAAGTAAATAAGATATATGTCGCCCCCTGTATATGCTTCGATTCGACCACATAGTTGAAAGCTGGAACTATTTGATATATTCCCTTCTCCACCAATCCCCTCATCTCAACACTTTGCTTTAGTCATTTCATAGCATACTTGTTGCAACTTAAGGGGACTTTAGAAATATTGGGTGGGTCTGGGACTTATTTACTTCGACGAGGCATCATATAATTAATTCAGGTAAGTTCATTTGATCTTATAATTATATTTCTGCCTCGTCTCGTAAATAAGATATATGTCGCTGTTTAAAGCATGTTGCAACAAAAATTACGATAAAACATTTTATTTATATTTAACTGATTACAAGTTTAACATTTATATTGTCATAATTGACCCACTTTCAAGAAAACTTAAAAAATAAAGCAAAGTGTTGAGATGAGGGGATTGGTGGAGAAGGGAATATATCAAATAGTTCCAGCTTTCAACTATGTGGTCGAATCGAAGCATATACAGGGGGCGACATATATCTTATTTACAAGACGAGGCAGAAATATAATAATATGTTTTACTCTATTTGAAGGAGCATTCACATTCTTTATAATATGATGAGTGTTGTACGAAGTACATAGATATGTATTTTGCCGATGATCTTCACTTATTCTACCGAGACATTCATTACGTTAAATTATTATTATTGGACTTTTATGGGAAACCAGGACCCAACTTGATTTCATTTTTAATCGTATAAATAGACGGCACAATGTTATTAAAATAAAAATTATTCACTTTTCTCTTAATATATTCCATTGTGCAGTGATCTAGACTGAAAAGATATTTTGATTCCGCTTTTTTTCTTGGAAAACATTCATCGTTTGTAATTGCTGTTCTAATGGAGTTTTGAAATTTTTATCAAAACGTGTGTGTTTTCCACTACATCGTAATTAGATCCATTATTATTATAAAATCTAATTTTAGTTAAATGTACATATTTTAATTAACTCCTCCAATTCTTCTTCACCTCAGAAGAAACTTGTGTTAATTACTACCTTCTGAGACTACATAATCGGCATCACTTTCAAAAGGCCTCCAAACAGTCTTTTAAGCTATCGCATAGCTTTTATCGCGGGCTTTGAGCGTGGCGACCGAATCAAGAAATTCCGTAACGAAAATAAACCTAACACCCCACATTCCGACCAGCACAGCGGTGCGGCGTTTTGAAAGCCGTGGAAGGTTTTATCCGACCCTATTCGTATTAGTATGAAGCGGAGTTAAATATACGTCTGCGGACTGGAACGTTTATGCAATACAAGAACTAGAAGAGCTTTCTCTGGCTTCTAATAAATTGGTATCACAAATGTTCCCGGTTGGGGTAAATATTAGATATTAATTTTTTTTGCAAGATTTATCTATATATATAAAATTGTTTGTCCTGACTGACTGACTGACTGACTGACCTATCAGCGTACAGCCAAAACTACTAGGCCTAGAAAGCTGAAATTTGGAACATAGGTTTATTTTATAACGTAAGCATCCGCTAAGAAAGGATTTTTGGAAATTTTAACTTTAAAGGGGGGAAATTGGAGGAAATGGAGGGAGGGAGCTTTTAATGAAACTCTTTGTTCTTTAAAGTTAGAAACATAAAAATTTAAATTACAGCTGCTGAGCAAAAATAAATAATGACGTGTTTCAGGGTTTTTGGATTTTTTACATTTTAAGGGGGGAAAACGGGGGGTGAAAGTTTGTAAGGGACTATCGATTTTTTTTGTTCTCTATGAAGTTAGAAACATGAAAATTGGAATTGCAGCTACTGACTACAAATTATTAATGACGTGTTTCAGGGTTTTTGGATTTTCCCATTTTAGGGGGGGAAATGGGGGGTGAAAATGTATTTGGGAGTATCCATGTTTTTGGTTCTCTTTAAAGTTAAAAACATGAAAATTGGAATTGCAGCTACTGAGTACAAATTAATAATAATGTGTTCTAGGGTTTTTATATTTTTATATCTTGAGGGGTGCAAACGGGGGTAAAAGTTTGTATAAGAGTATAACTTTTTTGTTCTCCTTGAAGTTAGAAACATGAAAATTGGAATTGCAGCTAATGAGTACAAATTAATAATGACGTGTTTTAGGGTTCTTGGATTTTCACATTTTAAGGGGGGAAAACAGGGTTGAAAATTAATAAAAATTATTAAAAATCAATAAAAATTAATAAAAATTAATAAAAATTAATAAAAATTAATAACAATTAATAAAAATTATTAAAAATTATTAAAAATTTTAAAAAATTAACAAAAACTAATAAAAATTAATAAAAAGTAATAAAAATTAAGAAAAATTATTAAAAATTAATAAAAATTAATAAAAATAAAAATTAATAAAAATTAAAAAAAAATAATAAAAATTAATAAAAATTAATAAAAATTAATAAAAATTAATGAAAATTAATAAAAATTAATAAAAATTAATAAAAATTAATAAAAATAAAAATTAATAAAAATTAATAAAAATAAAAATTAATAAAAATTAATGAAAATTAATAAAAATTAATAAAAATTATTAAAAGTTAATAAAATTTATTAAATTTTTTTAAAAATGAATAAAAGTTAATAAAAATTAATAAAAATTAATAAAAATTAATAAAAATTAATAAAAATTAATAAAAATTAATAAAAATTAATAAAAATTAATAAAAATTAATAAAAATTAATAAAAATTAATAAAAATTAATAAAAATTAATAAAAATTAATAAAAATTAATAAAAATTAATAAAAATTAATAAAAATTAATAAAAATTAATAAAAATTAATAAAAATTAATAAAAATTAATAAAAATTAATAAAAATTAATAAAAATTAATAAAAATTAATAAAAATTAATAAAAATTAATAAAAATTAATAAAAATTAATAAAAATTAATAAAAATGAATAAAAATGAATAAAAATTAATAAAAATTAATAAAAAAATCACGTATTTTTTTATATTAATAACAGCGAGCAAAGCCGCGGGCAATAGCTAGTAATAGTATATTATGTAACGATCATGTAATGATGGTTATTAATACACGAGAATTAACCGGGATACGAAACAAGCCAAAGGCGAGTTTCGTATGGTTTATGCGAGTGTTTTAATAATTATTACATGAGAGTTGCATACGCTATTTTTTCTACACCCGATAAATAATCAAGACCTATAAATATTATATTTATATTGGTATTGAACACAATAACAGTAATTACTCGTATTTCTATAAAAAATTCTACAAAATTGTAATTAATGGTATTAATTTGGGTATTGGTATTTCTCTAGATTTCTGCGGCAAAATATTTTGTACTGTATTTTCTGCTTTCTCCGACATGTGTGGAGAAGTCTTCTATATCGCTGATATCGGACATTTTAATATTATAATTATCGAAGTTTAGCTATCTACGAAAATTTAATACTAAAACAATTACATAGAAACCTAGGAAACGTCAAACAGCATGCTTGATTGAAAAATTGTAGGTTTCTATTGATTAAAGATCTGTATCGTAATGAAAAATCTATATCATAATGGGTATCATTATGAAACGGATTATGGATAAGAGCATTATAATACGGGTGTAGAAAAAATATTAATTTTTATTTTATCAGTGTTAACTATTTCATTATTAAGCTATTGCGCAGATTTTATCGCGGGCTTTGAGCGTGGCGACCGAATCAAGAAATTCCGTAACGAAAATAAACCTAACCCCTCGAAAAATCGAAAGATCGAAAAAATCGAAAAATCGAAAAAATAAAAAAATCGAAAAAATCGTAAAATCGAAAAAGAAATTCCGTAACGAAAATAAACCTAACACCCCCCACTCCGACCGACGTTGAAATCCGTGCATCGTCTAACGTCGTTTCAGTTCGGCAGACTTCGGCATGGTGTTTGTGTGCGTGCGACTAGACATATGCGTGTAGACTAGCTGCTAACTGCTCATAACTGATTCTATCTCTTTTAGACACAATTTCGGAAAAATTGAATTTGAAAATGAATAATGATCCACAACAAAATATGGGACCACCATTGAGGCGGTATTTTCCAGATATTTAGAGGATATCAAGTCTCAAACTTATGTTTCTTATTTCAGTTACCATAAACCTATAGTTTCAATGATAAAAATTCCCGAATAACCTACTATGTATTGTAAGATAATAAAAATATTTTAAACAATATTAACTTCTCATTTATTCAATATTGTTTTCTTATCGGTCACCACGCTCAAAAAGTGTAACTTGAATTAATATCAAAGAAAAAAAAATACTGCCTAAATAAAATAAATAAATAATTATAATTGCATAAGTTGATAAAAAATGCTATGCAATAGCTTTACCGCGGCAGTCCCCGAGTTCCACGCGTATGTTTTTTTTAAATATATAAATTTACAAAAAATCTAAACACAAATCCAACACCGGAATTCAGAAATAATAATATTTAGAAAACTACAAATTTAGACTGAGTTAGACTTTCATTTTGTTCAGGATGCATAAAATTAATTTTCACCAAAACGGTGGGTAAGACTTACTCGTTCTTTTCGTTAATATATTTTCACCTCAAAAACTCTCAAAATTAATCATTATGTTCGAAAAAAATTTGGTATTTTTTCAGGTACCGTTGAGCTTGATTTTATGGAAGAGAAAGAGAAAGAATTTTATGCCGAAATAAGAGCGAAGGCCACAGAAGAAGGAATAAACATTTTAAACAACCAGCGAAAGGTCGATGCGGAACTTGCGGAAGCTGAACGAATTAAGAACATCAAAGAGTGGGCAGCGAAAATAGTAGACATGATAAAGCACCTAAAAATATTATTGCTCGAACGGGAAAATGAATTAAAAGGTGAGACGAAGCTTGAATTGTCGTCTTTTCCTATGGCAATGGCTAAGGTCGAAGTTACAGCTTTGGAGACAGAAGTTAGTATTGCAATAAGCTCAATTCGAGAGGAGTTGGGCAATTTAAACCTTCCTTCAGCCCTGGAAATTTCGGAATATGAAAAATTACTGGTTAGTAAAACTAAATTATTCGCTTTTGTGCCTCCTTATTTAAGAAAGAAAATTGTTGCCGAACCTGCAACCGAGACTGACGATTTTGTAATTGATTACGTAAACCAAGCGTTAGCCGGAGCAAAGTTTTTGGGTGGTAAAGAACTTATTCAAGAAAATATGATCCAACTTGTTATAAAGGCAATAAAACAAGTTGAAGACTCAGCTCGTGAGGCTGGAAATATTAGAGGAGGATGGCTTGTTGATGGTTTACAAAGTGATCCCACTTTGGTGAAAGGAGTATGTTCAGTTTATATGCCGGATAACGTAATTCATTTAAAAGACCAAGATGACTATGAATTTCTGAGAGAAAGATACAAGACCAGAGGTGCCAATAGATTTAGTGACTTCAAAGAATTTTTTGTAGAACTTGGTGACTATGTTGCGGCTGATAGATCTCCTTCTCAAGAGTCTGATTTAACTTACAAGACAATTTTGGCAAAGGACATTTTATCAGAGATATTTGAAAGTCCAAAACTTGATGGAAGATCTGCATCAGGTAAATTAGTAAGAGATGAAAATTATTACACGGAAATATTAAAATTTAAACTCCAATGGCAAGAATTAGAAGAGTTCTTCTTTGACAAAGGAATAGATGTTATAGATCTCATAGTGACCGATAAATCCATACCTCAATTATTAAAGGATGCAATTAAAGCCGTAGAGGATTGGTATAGAGTGACTCCGTCGCCGTATTCCGATGAAGATGCAGCTGAAGAAATTATGGGACTGGCTGCTCCCTTACCAGAGCAAATTGGCGAAGAAACCTTGACAGACATACAGGAAAATATACCAGAAGGAGCTGGGGAAATTGAGAAGCCAGAAGCGTTTAGACGCTATGGAGACACATTCCATTATTGTCCAGTTACTTTCAGCGAATACTGGGTTTTGTGGAAAGGCAAAGATGAATTTGCTGTTAAATTTAAAGACCGTGTTTATCTTTTAAGCAATCAGCAAAATTATGAAAAATTTTTATTTTCACCTAGAGCTTATTTACCTAACAAACCACCTGATAAAATGCCGCCACCAAGGATTTGTATCATGGGTTGTCCGGCATCTGGAAAAACCACATTATCTCGTGCTTTAGCAAATAATTACGGTATTGAGTATGTCAGTTACGAATCACTTGTAAAAGCCGAATTCCATATAAATAATAATGACACATTTGAAAACTTGAAAAAAAGCAATTTTGTTGATAAACAATTGCGCGCCTATCTTCACGAAAATATCCCATTACCCGGACGTTTTTACATAACTAAATTAGCGAGTTTGTGGTTTAAGAAACCTATTAAAGAATTGGGCTTTGTAGTAGACGATTTTCCAAAGCGACCGTGCGATGTCGACATTATGATTCAATTAAAATTAATACCTGATATCATCATCGAATTTGCAGGCGATGAATTGTATATAAAAAATCAGTTAATGCACGAACGTCTGAGTGAATGGCAGGAACATTTATCGGCTTATGTTTTAGAAAAGGAAAGAGAATTTCAGGAATTAATGCGCGATTGGGAAGAAAATCTTCCGAAAAAGTTTAACGCTCTCTTGGAGGAAAAGCGAGAAGAGCGTTATGCGCAGAAACGGAAACAAAAGGAAGCCGAACTCGAGGAAAAGCCGCTAGAGAAACAAGCGTCTCAAGTCAGTTTCGATTCGATTGCCGATCAAAAAGATATCGACGAAATCAACCGATTGCTAGATATAACTATGCCCGCTTTTATTCCTGGTCCAATAGAAACCGATGATGAAATGAGAACAAAGTTAAATGCTCAAATTGCGGTACATTTTGATTCCGAATTGAATTATATAAAAATTATAAGAGACAAATGCATTCTCGAGCAGTTACCGTACGCTAAAATGCCAATTGATGAAAACGATTATGAAAAAAATATTCGATTCGTTTATTGTATAACGGAAGATTACAAATATCGTAATAACTCTCATTTTGAAAGCTTCTGCGACGTCCCTTTCGATCTTTCAGAAAGACTTCTGGCGTCTGGTTACTGCTTCCTTAGCAAATACGGTAGATTATGCCCAGTTGAGTATCACAAACAAAAAAATCCTTTTTTAAAACATCCTCTCACAAAGAAACAGTTCAATATATTTCCAATTATTCACAGGACCTTTATATACTTTATTGACGGCGAAGAAAATGTCAACATATTTAAAAAAAATCCTCTATTTTACGTTACCATAAAAAGAGTCCAGTATCCCTTAGTGCCTCTAAAATTGGCCGTTACCGGACCTCCAAAATGCGGGAAAAGTACTCTAGCAAACAGAATCGCTGAACAGTATACCATGAAAGTAATTACACGAGGAAAGTCAGTCAGATACGTTTTGGATTTCCTGCCCTTTTCGAATTTGGCTCATACTATGGAACGAGTTCTAAGACGGGGATGGGAAGTTACTGACGAGATGATTGCCAAATGTGTTGAAGCTGCTTGCATCAGTTTTCGTGGCTCCACTCAAGGTATATCCCTAATATCAATTTTAGTCCTAGAGCCTAGAGCCAACGTTCAGGTTTGTGACTTATTTTTTATGGTTGAATTTATTTTTAACTTGTACTATGATACGTGTCCAACGAATTCACGCAAGTACGACGATCAGACTAGGGCGCTTAGGCATTACAAGTGGTACGTGCCACTCAAAAACTTGACTATTTTCTAAACAGTTTCGTTAGGCCCACCTATAAAAAATATTAAACCCTCTAACAATTTCGGTGGACCATTTTCTCTCTCAAACGTTTTAAAGTAGTGCGTGAGAAGGCATGCGAGAGACTTATTTTTATATAGCAGGTTTTTGATTAAATTTTTGTTAGGTTTTTCATAAAATTCACTTCCTCCACCATTTTCGCTGGCCATTTTTCTCTCTCTAATATTTTAAAGTGGTGCGTGATTGGGCATACGAGTGACTTATTTTCTTATAGCTAAATTTATTATTAAAGTGTAGTAAGATATGTATCTAACGATTTCACGAAACCGCGAGGTTCAGACCGGGGCGCTTAGGTAGTTATAGACATTACAAGTGGTACGGCCCTCTTGAAAACTGACTTATTTTGCTGCACGTTATTTATTTTCTTGAGGGTGATTTTTGATTTATTTTCAAGTAAGGCGTAAGTAGACATACGCGTGCTTGGCTCATTTTCCAAACTGGATGCTTGTTCCAAAGCAAGAAAAAATAATAACTTTTCACTGAATTATTGTCCAATAAGAATATCGGTCCGGTTTTAGTGTCCATTGAAAATAAAGCATTAAAATAATAAATAATGGTTTTATTTAAACGTTTTGAGGTTACAGAATTGAAAAATCTTTACTAGTCATTTTTAAGGTCTAAATTGTCTCGTTTAAAATTATAAAAAAAAAAACAATGTTAATGATATATTTTTATTGAAAAATTTCAAAAACGAATTAAACCAATTTATGAACCAGCACATTGAATAGAATGATGAAAATTTAAAAATCGGTAGATATTAAAATTCGTTTTCAGCATCGTCAAAAACCCCTGATCGACTATTTATATCCATTTTAGCAAAAACTTATTTCCTTTTTATGTTTTAAACCATTAATATTTTTTTAACTTTATAACGTTGGAGAGAAAAAATGGTCCCAGCGAAAATGGCGGAGGAAGTGAATTTTGTAAAATAGATAAAACTTGAAAATAATCCAAAACGAAAAAGTCACGCGCATGCCTTCTCATACACTACTTGGGGAGAAAAAAATGGCCCACCGAATATGGTGGAGGCTTTAAAATTTCTTGTAGGTGGGCACCTTAGATAAAAGAAACAACAGATGAAGCATTTCATTCGTAACCTATCATTTGTTTGGTCCCAATTATTGGAAAAGAGAAAGAAGATATTTTATGCGGATTGAAAGAAGACAGACTGTAATCTTAGATAAAAGTCTGTCGATACCAGTGGTGTATCTTATTAAAGATAGAAAAAAATACAATAAATAAAATAAAAACAAGATAAATAAATCAAGATTTATTTTAAACAAATTTACGAATCCAATTTTGGAGTTAATTTGAACAGTTTTACAAATTAGTAGAGATTAGATTTAGTTAGGACTGTGGGCAATGTGGCCTCCCCCACCTCGACCTTCTCAGATCTATTGTGGATACCCTTGAATCCTTGTTTAGAGTACCTTGTCTAATTCGGTCTTTTGTAGTAGACTCCATAGACTGGGAAGTAGTTCTCAGGTATAGCTAGTTGCCCTTGGTTTTTCTTCTCCAAGTGTAAGAAATCTCAGTCTTGCTAGACCTTTGCAGTAGCACAATACGTGTACTGCCGTTTCTTCCTCTTCCTGACAGAATCGGCACAAGGTCTCTTCTGTAAGACCGATATTATACATAATGTTTGTTAAGCCTACAATGCCCTGTTAATAGACCTACTAGTACTTAGTATTTTTCCTTTTAAGGCTTAGTAGATGCTCTTTGAGTTTAGGCGATGGTCCTTTTAAGAACTCTTTGGCATGTCTCTGTCCTGGAGAGTTTTTCCACCACTCGTGATATTTTTTAAACATCCACTGATTTGTGCATGTTCTGATAGTTGTTTTTGTTACACCACAGAAGGGTTCTGGGCCAATAAGAGCATTTGAGGCTCCTTCTCGGGCTAGTAAATCAGCCTCTTCATTTCCCTTATGTCTTCTGTGGCCTGGTACCCAAGCTAAGGTTAGTCTGTTTTGACTACCCAGCTCTGTTAGGGCTTCCAAACAGTCCCACACAAGCTTTGAGTGAACCTGCATGGAACTAAGTGCCTTTAACGTCGCTTGACTGAGTATATGACAATGGTTTTTCCATTTACCTCCTGTCTTACTACCTCTTTTGCGCAGTAATGTATTGCTGCTATTTCTGCCTGGAATACTGTCGCATGTTTACCTAAGCTCAGTGAGATTCTTGTCTTTGGCTTGGTACTATATATACCTACTCCTGAACCTTCATGCGTTTTGGAGCCGTCTGTATACCAGGTGAATTCTGCCTGAATAGGAGGTCCTTCCGTCCACGCTTCCCTGTCTGGTATACTTACTTTATATTACTTTTGGGAGCATTTCATCTGAAGGCATTCCCATTATTTGGTCGTTCTCCAACTCTTTATATAGCTCGCTGTAGTCACGTCCATGCAAACTCCTTATCGGTGATGAACCTTTGTACAGTCTGTATGTGACAGACCTGGCTTCGCCTTGAATGAATATATGTAGTGGTGTTAGGTTTAGCACGACTTCTATAGCTGCTGTTGGAGTCGTTCTCATAGCTCCCGTGGTACTCGGGCATGATGGTTTTTGAATACCATTGAGATTTCGAATGGCTCCAGCTTGCCGAGTCTTTGGCTACTATACCACCGACCCGTAGGTTATCATCGGCCTTATGACTCTGGTATATAACCATAGGGACATTTTCGGTTGTAGTCCCCAATTTTTTCCACACAACCTTCGACATAAGTTGAAGGATGTTGTATTCTTTTGGGTGACTTTTCGCAAGTGTTGATTCCATGTTAACCTGTGGTCAATGGTGACTCCCAATTATTTGGCCTCTTGAGCAAATGGAATCTTCACTCCTTTCAGTACTGGTGACTTTAGTCCTAATGGTACTTTTCGTTTTGTAAAGTTCACTATTGTGGTTTTGTGAGAGTTTACTGTTAGTTCCTCCTTTCTGCACCACTCGTCAACAATGTTTAGAGCGGTTTGTGTGCAGTCCGATATTGTACCTGCGAACTTGCCTTTTACGACGATCGCCAGGTCATCGGCATACCCTAGGCAGTAGAAATCTGCAGATATTAGCCTTTTTATGAGTTCGTCCACTAGGACTGACCAGAGGAGGGGTGATAGTACTCCTCCCTCTGGGGAAACTCCCTGTCTGCTCTAGCTGTCAGTGTAGCTTCGCATAGAGATGATGTTATTACCCTTTCTTCTAGGCTGGCTTTTATCCACTGACATAGGATTACTGGTACCCCTTTTATTGTTAGGGCGTTAATTATGTTTGGGCATTACTAAAAGCTCCCTCAATCAATATCTACGAAAGTTGTTACTGCCATTTCTTTATCCTCCAGGGATTTTGACAGTAGCCTGTTGAGATCATTCAGGGCCAAATCGGTTGACTTACCTGGCTGATATGCATATTGACGGTCGCTAAGAGGATTTTCTCTCAACTATTTCGTCTCGTATATATCTATTAGTCTTTCTAGCGTTTTTAGCATGAATGACGATAGACTGATTGGGCGGTACGACTTTAGTAATAATGAGAGATTTTTAAATCAAAATTCGGATTTTTAAGACTAATAAATTTATAAAAGTTATCAACTCAATAAATTTACCATATATACAAGGCTAGGATTTTAAATCGAACGCTACTTATAGCGGATCTGCCAATAAGGATTTTGTAAAATCTGAAAACACGTAGAAATATACAACAATAAACCTAAATTAGTGCTAGGCGTTGAAAAAAACTACGTTTTTATTTAAAAAAGGAAATATTCCTTTCTAAACAATTACTACTTTTGTATTTATACTTCTTATATTTTTTCTTGAAATATCCAACTTTTTTGTGGTCTCATAGTGAATGCGAATATTGAAATAATGTTTTAATAACAGCTTTATCAAATATGTGCGTGATTTTCAAAAACATCGCCATCAAAAATGTGATCTCCAAAAAAAAATTAATATGTTAGATTCTAAGGTTTTTACATTATTTAAAATTAATATATCCAAAACCCTCAAAATATGCTCCGAGAATAATACTCTTTTTCGAATACCTTAATTTTCTTCAAATCCTACAAGTGATAGCCAAATATTTATTTATTTTACTACTAAAGTCCAGACTAAAGTGTTTCCATTAATAACAATTTTTTGCGAAATTAATAACGTTGAAATATCAGAGGAAATAAATAATAGTAAAACAAAGGTAGATTTATGCTGCGTTTGAATATCCACATCGGATGCACCTGAGATGTAAATCTTTGATCACGTGATTCAATATACGCAAATGAAGCAGAACATATGTGTCCGATGTGGATAAACAAACGCTCGAGATTCAAAAAATGCATCTTATGTGGATATTCAAACGCAGCAAATACATGTAATATTACGGCAAAAATCTTTAAATCTACACCACTGATATCTACATCACCTAACCTTACTTATGAAAAGGTACTTCAGCACATTATCCAGTTTATTGCACAAAATGCACTCGCGAACAATGTTGTTAGCTATACACTAAAACTATAAGCCGAAATATTTCCAAAAAAAAATCTAAAAATCAACAAAACACCCGATATGGAACAATTGACTGTATGACAACGTCGCAAACTATCGATCATAATGTATAGTATGAATGAAACAAGGTTATTTTAAATTGCGGTGGTGTCACGTTTAACGCTGTTAAAATCCATGCATTTATTTGCAGGCCTATTAATGGTGTTTGTCATAGTTTAACTTAGTATTTGCAAAGTTGTTATTTAGCAGGCGTATGTATGTAAAAACGATAGGTACAAAAATGCCCTGCTTAATGGTCTAAAATTAGGTGCTGCTAAAATATCAAGTCTACTGAAAGCAATTAAAATAGCTTACTTAATGTACTTTGTACACATTTTATACGTTTTTTGTTTTGTTACAAGTCATTTTATTTAAAAACTTACTATTAGAAATGTTTCGGGAAATATTGCAACAACTCTGCCCACAATGCGTCGGAGTGGGAAACACTGCACTAGGTACGAAAATGAATTGGTGGGAACGCTTGATGTGTCGCAATATATCTCAAAACAATGCTAATTATTAAAACTTGTTGCTATTATTAAGTTATAAGTAAAAACTATTTTTTAAATATGAAAGGAATAAACTACACAGCCTGGCAACAGCGCACCAGGCAACGTATGTCGGTTCTTTTACGAAATAGCTACGCGCTACGTTTCCTTGCAATGTATGACCGAGTTTAAAAAATTTGGTGGGTACTTATCGTTAAATGAGCGTAGCGAAAATGTTGAGAAAATAAGTCGAGTTTTTGAGAGGCACGTACCACTTGTTATCTATGCGCCCCAGTCTGAACGTCGCGCTATCGTGAATTCCTTGGACACGTATCAAAGCACAATTTAATAATAAATTCAGCCATAAGAATATAAGTCACAAATCTGCACGTTGGCTCTAGGACTAAGTCTCATTAGTGGATATTTTTATTAAGTCATTTATATTCTAAATACATTGTATTCGTGGTAAAAAACAACGAATAGCTTTTCCAAAATTTACTCCTAAAATTACTAATAATTGCAGTGGTCCAGTTCAGGGGAGTCTTACAGCCGTATGCATAGTCGATCACCAGCGACTCGCCAGAGATTCATTCCGGCGTTTCGCCAGCGATTCGCTGGCGAAAGCCCAAAAAGGTGGCGTCTCGCCGGAGATTGTCACCGAAATGTCATTTCACGCAAGTTTTTATTTTCTTTTATAGGGATTATCACCGGTATCTCTCGCATTTTATTCATGATTCATTTCTTAAAACTCAAAAAATAATGAACGAATTTCAAATTTTTCCCTATAAAAGAACATAAAAACTTGCGTGAAATGACATTCCGGTGACAATCTCCGGCGAGTCGCCAGATTTTTGGGCTTTCGCCGGCGGATCGCCAGCGAATCGCTGGCGATCGACTATGCATACGGCTGTTAAAGTTATGACATACTAGTGTCATTATTTTGTGTTGATTGTTTGATTATGATGAAATTAAATGTGTTTTCCAGTTAACGACTTTATTTACACTATAAACTTTCTTCAGCTTACAACGATTTTACATAGTGAGTATTTAAATTTATTGTTTATGTATAATAATTAGCAGGTTTAATACATCTCAAAATTAGGATCGAGTTAGCGACGGAGAAAGCAAAGATGTTGATATGTCGATAGTCAAAATCGTTTTCTGTTTGTCTTGTCGAGTCAAAAGTAAATGGTTGCGTTTGTGGGCGTGTTTCGTTGTGATTGGTTGATAAAGTATCGGAAGATATTTCCGTGATTTACTTTGCAGATAATGATAGAATATTGTCGTTTGTAGCTGTGGATGTGTTTTATCTTTCTATTTTTTACTATACTTATGTTAGCGCGAGTGAAACAGATTTATGTGACGAAGCTAACATTAATTCTTAAATTACTGGTAATTTTTCATAAGGGAGATAGATGTATTTTAGATGTATTGGCGCTCAAAATGCAGGTGTGCAAAGTTGTACAAATATGTTTTTCCTGGAATCCGAAAAACCGTTAAATTGTGTTTATTGTTGCAAGGGTCGGCTTTCGATTTGTAGATTTTTAAAGTCGGTGATATAGTGTACTAAATGAATAATAACATATATTGTTGTTCTTATGTTTATTATATATTATTTATACATTATTTATATGGATTATAAATAGAGTAACAGAAGTATCTAAACAAATGCGTATCATTTTTGAACAGGCTGTCTTAATTGTTTCTATAAAAAAGCATCACACACACTGTTTTTCACTAGCACTAACATTAACGTTCATTGCACTAGCTCAAATGGCTTCTTTCTTTTCGATAGACCCCAAGGTGCATCAACGATGCATCTTAGTACTTTATTTTGGAGAACTTGTATCGTGTTGATATTACTTTTGCTGTCACATATAGGTATGTCGTAAATCCAGATTGGTTTTAGGATTTGTTTATAAATCAGCAATTTGTTGTACACTGACAACTTAGATTTTCTTTCTAGGAGCCAATACATTTTTTTGAATTTAAGTTCAAGTTCTGTATGCTTTTTATGTGATCTTTCTATTTAAGTTGTACATATAGGCTCATCCATAGGTATTTGGTGGAATTGTAATGCGGAATAACATCATTGTTGTTTATTCTTATTTGTTTTTGTTTATTTGATCGAAGAGTAAAATCAACATTTACTGATTTAGTTTGATATATTTTTAGTATAAATTTTTTTTGTCTATCGATTGATTCTGAGGTATCTGTATTAATTCCGTCAACTGCCAATAACGCATCCTCAAATATAGCTATTTTAACACATTGTTGTTGAGAGATTTCGCTGGTGTATAGTGAGTAAAGAACCGGTCCTACCACACTGCCTTTTGGGGCACCTGCTTTAATTTCTTTCATTTTAGAGAATGCCTCCTCTAGCTTCACTCTAAACATTCTTCCCTCTAGATATGATTGAAGAATGTCGATATATTGTCTAGGGAGCATTTTTGTATCAGGCCAGCGTGCCAAAACTTGTTAAATCCTTGGGCTACGTCAAGAAATATAGCTGAGCATATTCATTTTTCTTCGTATGTCTTTTCGAAGATATCAGTTATTCTGTGTTCTTGATCTATTGTCGAGAGTTTGTTTCTATAACCAAATTGCTGCGAATGGATCAGGTTTTTATTTTAAATTATTAGTTTTAGTCGTTTTAGTAGTGGCTTTTCAAATAACTTAGATATTATTGGTAACAATGATATGTCTATATGACACTTTGTTCGGAGGTTTTCCTGGCTTAGGAATTAAGATAACGTCAGCCATTTTCCACGCATCTGGTATATATTTAAGGCGAAATGCTGCATTTATGAGGTATGTCAATTTAACGATAGCCTTCCATGATAATTTCTTTATTATTTTTTTTTTTTTTTTCAGTAATAAGGTCATATCCTGGAGATTCCTATGGGTTTATGTTGGAATTTCTTTCCAAGTTGCTATTCTAATATATCTTTTGTCCATTGGTGGTTTTGTTATATATTTGGAGTTTATTTCTTCTAGCTTTTGGAGCCTGTCAGAGAGTGAATCTTTTCTGGTTATTAAGGATAATAATAATTCATTCATTAGGCAGTTTGCACACTTCGGCTGTTGTTCTGGACTTTTTCCGCAATCTTTCGTGCGATGTTTTCCCACTCACTTTACGCATCTTGATTCGCTGAATAAATATACACATGTCACAATCAAAATTACAGTTAAAAATGACGTAATAAAAATTTAATCCACTTCAGAAACATTTTGCCTTTAATAATTTTAATACTATTTATTTGTTTCCTAAGGCGTTGTATTCGACGGTTTCCCTAACACCATCATCGAAACAAGACACTTGTCGTACTTTGGATTAGCACCGCACCTAGTAATAGATATTCAAGCTACCAAAGAACAAACGTTAGAATGCTACACATACGACCAAGGACGAAGAGGTTTTCCCAAATATAGTGTGGAATTCATAAAGCATCTTCGTAGAGAATGGAAGGGATACGCAAACGATTTTCAATATTGGTTCGACAGAGAATATCAGCTAATGTATAAAATTCCAATCGATCCCAGTCTTTGGTCGATTTGGTATCAAGCCAATAAAATCATTAAAACGGTTACATTTGAAATTAGACATTACTTTATTAACTGCCATAAAGATTGGCCGTTGCGTTTGTCTTACATGCAAGTAACGCCTTTGGAGTTTTTAGAAAGGAAAAGTGCTTACGATTCGTTTTGTCCATGTTGCCTCCTCTTAGACGATGTGCTCACTACTGGTGGCTCACCTCCTGACAGAACGGGTTTAATACAATGGCGACGGTTTTACTATTGGGTTTGTAATAAGCACATGAAAAAATTTCTAAGAAAACCAGATACTTTTGTTCTCCCATACGGGCGATCCCCACCGGAGCATCTACCGTCCGTTTTAAACTTGAAAGATTCGCAACCGAAAAATCTTTATGAAGATGGCTACTGCGTTACTTGCTTTAAAGATAATACTATTTTGGTAAAGGGTGACTTAAGGTTTGCAATATATTTTAAAGAAAAAACTTATCTTTTCGATAAATTGGAGTGTTTGCAGAAATTTCTCAAAAGACCTCTTTTATATTGTTTCGGTATTAGCTTCAGACCTCCTGACAACTACCCTGGTCTAGATTACAAAGAACTACCTGTACTAGGGATGTTAGAACAGTATGTTGCTGGAGATGTAATCAGAGCAATACAATTTATCTCTAGAAGGAGACCAGTTATTCCTGGATTGAGCGTAGTTGTTTCGGGTGTTATCGGTATCGGTTTACATCTGAAAGTTAGCAATTTAAAACTTCCTTCAGATTATATACAGCGTTACAAAGAGGCTAGTGAAGTGTACTATTCAAGAAGAAGTAAATTACTTAATTATCTAGATAGAATGAAGAGGATCATTAATCCATATTTGCACTATGAGGAACCATTACCGCCCTTTCGTTATTTGGCATCTAGTAAATCCAGTAGTATTAGTACTTATACTCATATGACTAATTTAGTTGAGGAAATGGCGGACAATGCCGTTAACATTGTTAGAAAACAAAGTGCTTTAAGTGGTGGTTTACTGGATTAATTAGATATAAAAAAAATATATTTCGCTGAATATATTATAATTATAATATGGAATTACAAGAGGTATAATTTTGTTATTTTGTTGTATTTATTAAATGTTCTTAAACTACGTTTTGTTAATTTATTTTATTTATATTTTATGTCGTGATAACTTGAAAACTATCTTAAATATTCCTACAAGGGAATCTTCTTATTGATGGTATCTGTTACTCATCCGCAAATCGTACGTTCTCTTAAAATCACAAAAATTGTTCTTGTTTCCTGCCCTTGTATTTGAATGAGTGTTTATAATTTGATTTGGCTCTCATTATGGAGATATGACAAGAAAAATACGTCCACCGAAACTCGATGACAGTTTTTTAAAGCAACGATGAAGGGGGTAATCGCTGCAGCCAACCCAACAGTTGTAGTTAGGGATAGGACAAGAGAGTGATTGAAAATAAGTTGTTTGAATTCGAAAGTACCACCCCTTTTTTTCCGCATGAGTAATGCTAACTCGTCGAATTACTGGAAAAGTGTATTGAGACGATTATTATTTTAATTGGATTTACACACTTGCATTTAGACTAAATCACGGAAAGAATGAAAGTTATTATAGGTATTTCAACTTCTATCCAACCCCATATAGAAACAAAAAAGAAGTTGTTTCTAACATGTACGTGGTTTTAAAAAAAATCATCCAGAAGTTGTTAGTTTATAGTGCATCCTTTGACCATTAAACAGATAGACGGAGCGTAGGATATGTTTCGTGTTTCAACATTAACATGTATTCAACTTCAGACAAGTTTAGATCTGGCCATTAGCTCATTGGTCAATCGTTTTACACAATAATATACTTTATGAGTGAAAGTGACAGTAATGGTGGTATGACATACATATAATAGTTATTATTTACTTGCTTTAATTAATAAATCGCGAAATAAATAACCATAATGGGGAGAAATCATGCTGTTTTTAATTGCGACAGTAAACGACACGAAAATATTGTATTATAAAGTGCTGTAAAAAGTATTTTAATGTAAATGAAAATAAAATTCTTTTACACTTACGATTATTGACAATCACGAACCATGAAGTAATATAACCATAGGCACAAAACACTCGGTGACCGAAAAATGATCGAAAGTCAAAATATCGAAATAATAAATAGTCGAATGTACAAAATCATCGAAAATACAAATGATCAAAATTAAAAATGTCAAAAGTTCAGATGATCAAAAATGCAATTAGTCGAACGTAAAAAGTTCTAAAAGTACAAAAGAAAGGACCAAACTTTGCATAAAGCCAGAAATAGTAAAAAAATATCTAATTCACCTAACCTGTGCGGCCTGGAGCACTCGGGAGTTGCTTTGCAAAAAAAATATACATCAAATGAGAAGAGCTAAAAAAAAACTAATTTCGTAATATAATGCTTTCGATCATTTGTAAATTCGATCATATGTGGTCCCGATTATTTGTTGTAATTTCACTTTTGACTTTTTTACGCTCGCCACGCACCTCTGTGCACTCAGTGACCATACTAAAACATTAAATTTTATGTTGGCACTTTGGACACTGAATACATTCGGTATTTGATGCTTTAGACTTTTCATAAGGAAAATTAAAAAACGAAAATTTCGAAAAATCTATTTCTAATTCCAATATTCAATTATTTATTTCGTTCAAGTGTAAATTGAATACATATGTAATATAGTTTTGCTGATGACACCGCTGTCTTCTATAAAAATAACAATTGGTCAGCTCTCAAAAATTATATTGAAAATGATTTTGTTAATATAGTTAATTTTTTTGAGAGCAGACTACATAAAAAAACCTTTTTTTACCGTTTACTTCATATAGCACCGACTTACCACTATTTGAACAAATATCTATTACTGTATCCACAAAAGAAATGCTTCATATCAAAACAAATACAATTAAATATCTCGGAATTTTCCTCGATTCCCATTTAAGATGGGACCATTAAATAAACTATTTAATAAAAAAAACTAAGATTTGTACTACATAAACTTAAAAATACATCTAACATCCTAAAATTAACATACCTCAAAATTCTTTATTATGCATTAGTCGAAAGCTTTTTGGTCTTATTGTTTGGGGATCGACTGGACAAACTCTTATCGAATACCTGCAAAAAATTCAAAAAAGTATATTAAAAGTTTTATTTCACAAACCCAGAACCTACCATATAATTGAGCTCTACCAAGAAACTGGAGTGCTAAACATCTATCAATTATACATAAAAGTGATTTTACTAAAGCAACATAAAAACAAAGCCACTTTAAAGCCAATCCAACAGAGCTATCTAATCAGATATAAGGAAAGCGCTGCCGTAATACGTAAAATGAAAAAAGCTATAGGAAAAAAGTTTTTTCATACCTGGCTCCAAAGTTGAATAAACAATGGACACCATTCAGTTGGGCCAAAATACCTGCCTAATCCGTTGCCTATAAGTCGGTTGGGCCAATGTCTCGGTAACTAAGTTCTTTAAAAATTCAAAATTCATCAATTAACGGGAGCTCTCTTTAGTAGAGCCACAGTTTATAGCTAAAGAATCAGTTCGCTCACTCTGCGTCGGCACTTTTGATCTCAGTGTTCCAGTTTTTACACTGTGCAACTCGAATTTGTATCCCTGGCACATACAGAATCAATTCATAACCAGTACAATATATGACAACCGCCTATATTCAATTAGCATTCTTCTGCGCATCCTGAGTTTGTATCTCTGAAGTGGAAATATCCAATTGGTTCGAGTGAGCGAACTGATTATTTTAAGCTATAAACTGTGGTAGAGCGTTGTCGAAATACACTAACACCCTGTTTATGTCTAAATTTGCGTAATTTAAAATGTCAAAATATCTGGATGTGCCGAATAAAAATTTAAGATAAATTTAGAGTGAAATGACTCTTATGCATTCGTTGTTTGTCATATAGTACATTAAAAGGACATTAAGGCTTGGGGGTAGTTAATCGCTTGATTTCATATTCTAGGCCTAACTGAATGGTAGCATTAGGAACTACCTGATCTTTTTGGACTAACTGACGTATTACGTAGTCAATTACCATCTGATTTGAAAAAAAATTACTCAAGTTTATATAAAAAGAAAATAAAAAATTGAATCCTATTTTTTCCGACTGTTACATTGCAAAACTATTTCACCGCGAAATAAAACATGTTATAGTCTGTCAATATTATCGAGATTTATAAAAACGAAATTATTTAATATTTTATTAATATTTTAATTGATTTTATTTTCAGTTTTTTTTTTATTGTCCTTTTATTTTATATTCTATAGTTAAATTATTTAAAATTCTATTATAAGAATCTTAAATATTTCTTAGATACTTTTTAATTTTTATACATCTATTTTTCATGATAAATGAATAACTGCATTCACGCACAAGCCTGCTTTTGTGGATATATACTCTATTTGCATGAATATATGGATGTCTATTTATTTACTTATCTCATTTTTTGTATACTTTTATCTTTTCTAAATCTATATTGTACTTGTAATTATTGAAATTGAGACAAATAAAAATTATTATTTCCTCTTGGGAAAAGTTAAAATTAACTCAACTAAACAGTTAGCCCTCTTTTTTTTTTAATTTGTGCACTATGCACAGTTAGGATCATGTTTTTCAGAGGTGGAAAACCTATAATAAACACCGTGGACTAAAAAACAAAAATTAACACCGAAATGACGTCTTACAGAAAATATACAAAAGATTTATATTTTAAAAGTTTTTTTCCTAATCAGTCTCTATTTCAGAAAGTTGTAGAACGATGAATAGATTTGGTAAAAGTGTAGTGGTTTTATAAAACTATATATTCTAATAGATGTTTTTTTGTTTACGTAGGGTACCAGTTCCTGATGAGAGGTTCGATTATCTATGCGAATACTTCAAACCACTCAGGTAATTTATATTTTCAAAATACTATATTTTCTAAAACGAGGCTAGGTAACTCGTTACCAAATAAAAAACGAATGAATCTAAATTCTGATCGAAAATAAATATTTGTAAAACAGAAATATTCGTATTTTTCCAAAATAAAATAAAAAAAAAATAAACAAAGATGGAAAATACTGCGCTATCACGGTTATGTCACTTGAGTTATTTAATCAAATATGTATATGAACCAGGAAAAAAACAAAAATAATGTAGGAAGTGATTTTAAAATTATTTTAATAAAATTTGTTAAAAATAAATATTTAAAACCTAGGAATAAAAATTAATGTTAACAATTTAATCATCAAATCAATTTTACTATTAATATGAACATTACATATATCAAAATAGAAATTATGTATCTGACATATTTGACGGCTTATGCGGAAAGTTATTTATATTCACACACGGGTGGAAAGTAGATTCTTATCCACATGCCTGTGATATAGGGAACTTCCCATAAGACTAAATAGTGCGATATGTGTCACTTTCATTAGTGTCGTAGAAAAACATTTTGTAACACTGTGTTAGGTGCTAAAAACGTGATAGGATTGAAGTTCCATACTGTAAATCTACAGCTCGATACTAATGTATGAAATAAAAAATAAAACAATTTTCAGTTGCGGTATATTTGAAAGCATATTTTAACTGTATAAACTCCATCTTTTCTCTGCTGAAAATATCTTTAGACAAAGGTATACATTATTTTATCAATAATTTATTTAACGTCAGCCTATTTCTAACTACGAGGTTTAAAAACCGACACTGGTAAGTACGCTACCCCATATACCAGACATTTTGCCGAACCCTCTTGTGTTCCTACCAGAGGTACGGATCTTTAACGAGCGCATCTGTGGACTCGGTTTTAAATATCCTCCGAAAGATAGGTCACCCCGCGTTACACCCATACTCATTGATTTAACGCCTGCCAGTTGTGATATACATCTACGCGGGTAGCTGTATGGGCTTTACAGATACGCAGCCTTTCCTTGACCTATAATGTTTGAAACAGATTATTTACTTTATAATACTAAAAGAAAAAAATGAAACTCCACTAGTAGGTTTGATTAGGTCGAAGATGAGTGGGATGGTCACAGTCCAGATGGATCTATTGTGGCTCATGCTCAAAATTAATTTCTACTCGAACTTCAGATTTTTGAAACAGTTATACATTTAAAACATTACATAATCTAGGTTACATATTCAAGGTTACATATACAATCTAGGTTACATATTCTAGGTAACATAATCTAGCTAACAAAATCTAGCTAACATAAGCTAGCTAACAATCTAGCTAATATAAGCTAGCTAAAAATCCAGCTAACCTAATCTAGGTTACATGTTTATTAATTCTATAAAGACAAAAAAAGAGAACTATAAATTCAATATTTTAAATTGTGAAAATTATTCTGCTAATTATGTAGTAGAAACTATCAAACTTCTGATAAACCGCCTAAAAGAACATTTATTACTCGTTTTCAAATGTTGATCTAAAAATACAAGTTTTAGACCTCACTTAGAACTAATAAAAAATTCATTTCATGAGTCCATCAATTCTGAGATTATACATGTCTATGAATATGATTTTAAAATATTGAAAAACTTTAAAATTTGTAGAGAACAAAAATCCAATAATTGCTATAATATAAATAGAAGGAATAGATATGCATTGTCACAGTTAAGTGACTGACAGTTCTCATAAAAAGCTAGTCGCTGTCATATTCTCATTTTAAACTTTTGGTCACCATGTAGAACATATTTCCAGAATTTCTCTTTAATCTTATTTGTTAACTGTTTTATATTTTATCAATTTCAAATAATGTCATTTATTATTAGTATATCTATATCTATTTTTTCATTGATTTAATTTAAATTGGCCTCCACTCCAAAGCTGTATGTATTTGTGGATGGCAATTACTTTATATCTTTGTTATTCGCAAAATGTTTTAAACCAATATTTATGTGTTATTTTGGGAGCCTTTGGTATTAAATTAGATACTTTTTATTACAATGTCTTCCGCAAAGCTTTGTGTCCTCTTCTACATACTTATCACAGCTCGTTGTTTTCTTAAAGACCTAAATTTGTCTAGTAATTTTGTTTTGTCCTTTTCATTTTTTAACCATTGAAAACGTCCTGTTAATACACATTTTAAAGAAGAAATTGCCATCTATATAAAAGGATAATTTCTTTTTGTTTGATTGATAACACGAAAATAAAAAAAAACGTCCAATTTCGTTAAGTGTACACTTTAGCAAATCTTTTGATTCGATCGAACCGTTTGAGAAAGATACATCTAGAAAATTTGATTCGTGAGACGCCTTAGGTGAGACTGCGGCATTGGTATTTCCCTTAGCTGTTACCCGGTAATTTCTGTAATCAATGTCGTATCGAGAGGAGAATTACTGGGATCGGAAGCCCTGTTAAAAGTTACAAATTGGTTCGTTCTTGTGTCGAAAATTTTTTATTTTGGTTTCCAATTTTTAACTTTCCAATACAATGTAACTAAATATCTACATCTGGTAATTTTTTGTAGAAAATAATCACACATAAGGATTTAACTAAGGTTGCAATCTGAAAACTAAAGTTCTACTCACCTACTTACTAGTATATATTTAACTTTTTAATTTATTTAGAAATATGGTTAGCCCCCATTACAGATAAAATGCACAATTGCAATAAAAAATTAAATTACTTTAGAAAGGTTCTAAATTATCAAAAATAATACTACAAGAGGTGAGAATTTTTTGAGAACATTTTGTTGTAAATTGTAAAAACAGTAGCAAAAAAACAGTGTAAATTATAAAAATTTCAGTAGCAAAGTGGCAATTAAGTCAAAGAAATAAATGGATATCTGTACAATAAGAAGAAAAATTACCTTTATTGTTGTAATAACAGTAATACTGGAAATAGTAGACATCAGAAACTTGAAAGGTTTTAAATAAACATTAAATTATCATTATGATTTTCTTCAACATCCCTTTAATCGTAAACTTTCAGAAAGAACTAGATTTCTGCCTTTGATTATTGTATGAGGCTGGTATGCAATTTTGTGACTTACTGATAGGAAACCAGTTTTAATCATTCATTCTGTTTTCTTTCGAACAAAAATGAAGAAAATAAATAACAATCCTTCTGTTTATACATTTTAACTGTACGCTATTAAGAATAGGTTATTTCTTCAAAGACAACTTATTAGAGACTTTGGCAACTGCTCATACATTTTCTTGTAAATACTCTTACCTGCCTATGTTTTATTATTGATTTTTATTGATTATAATAATTATATATAATAATAATGTTTTCACTTGTTTTACAAATCCATATACTTTTATTAAAACTAACATATATACTTTTTAATTACGAATTCTATTAAAGATTGTATTGTTAGTATATGCAAAAATCGGCCATTAGTACATAAATTAATTGCCGCTGCTGTAAATCAGACGACGAAAAGCGAGGGGCTACTAAAAGGCAATATTGCACGCAGGCAACCAGTAAAGCAGTTTTGCGAATGGTATTGTCAGGAGATGCGCCAAAGTTGACAAAACAAGTCGTCGAACTCAAATAAAAAAATGATGCAAGATTACTTTCCAGCACAAAGAAAAAAATCTGATGTGTCCAACACATGACTTTCCTATCTAGTTATTATAGGCTTTTCCGGTTATTTTGTACAACCTATTGCAGCATCTCTATAAATGTTTAGAGGATAAACTAAATATATACATTGTCCACATACACCTACCTCGAAACATTTTTCTATAGATATTCATGGAAAACGAAAATACTGAAAAATTTAAATTTCCTGCAATTTTTTCATTACGGTCCATTTTAGAAAAATCATGTATAAACAAAAATTATAGAGATCGATATCGCAAACAACTTTTATTTCAAAAACTTTCATAAAAATCAGAATTTTGCACATTTTGTCAAATTTCTCGAATACGGACCATTTCAGGAAATTTTTACAAAAAACAAAAATTATAGATAATAATATTAGAAGTAACTTTTATTTAAACAATTTTTTTCTCCAAACATTAATAACAGATATATTCCATAAAATATAAAAACGGCCTCCCATAAAGTACCCCCCAGATGTTCCGACTTTGTCCAAAATCTAATCATTTCACGTTAGGCCGAAATAAACCTTAAGTTTAAAATTTAATGTTTTTTCTTTATCCGTTTTTAAATTTTTTTTCAAAATTCGAAATTTACATATTTTCTCAAATATCTCGAATACGGTCCATTTTAGAGAAATTATGTATAGAATAAAAATTATAGAAAATTATATTACAAACAACTTTTATTTGAACAATTTTTATAAAAAATTATTTTTTTTACATTTTGTCAAATTTCTCGAATACGGACCATTTTAGGAAAATTTTGCATAAAACAAAAATTATAGATAATTATATTAGAAGTAACTTATATTTGAAGAATTTTCTTCTCCAAACGTAAATAACAGATTTATTCCATAAAATATAAAAATGACCACCTATAAAGTACCCCCCAGATGCTCCGACTCTGCCCAAAATCTAATCAGCTCATTGGACGTTGAAACAAAGTTTAAGTTTAAAATTTGGTGTTTTTCTATGTTTCGGTTCATGAGTTATGCGTTATACAGACACACACACAGACACACACACACACAGACACACACACACAGACATCATCGCGAAAATAGTCAAAACGGATTCAGGGGACCTCAAAACGTGAAAATCCGTCGAAAACTCGAGGTCGGAAAAAATCATGATTCCTATACTTTCCTTATATCTGTATACAGATAGGAAAGTAAAAATGAGTTTTGCCTATAGGTTTTTATTATAGCGTTTACCATTGGCATGCACTGAGTTCATCTATGCACTGAACCGGTGCGATCCCGGTTCATTAAAAAATTGCACAAAGTACAAAGTCAATGGAACAACCACATGCACCGACTAGAAATGTCATGTGTCAATACTGTCAGTCA